ACGCATTTTGTTGTCTTAAACGCCACTCTGAAAGTATATGCGTGCCGGATGACGACACCTGGCTCCTTGTCCAACAGACTCACTTGAAAAACGGAGAATAAGGGTAGATGCCTTAGACCGAGAATTATTTGTCATGAACTTGTACGCCGATTCCAGTGCCCACTCAAGGGCTTCAGATAGGTAATTCTCATGAGAGGTACTGCCAACTGTTTCTCAGAACAAAATGCCCAACTGATAAGTCCTGAGAAGTGGGAAAATCCTTTCCAGGGAAATTCGCCACATCTGTAGGAGCGAAGGCGAGGTCCTCAATGCTCTCTAAATATAACATGGGTTGAAACCTACTCAAACGATATGATTGGGTTAGGAAGACAGCCGAGACCCACGCAAAAACTGCTGAACTCTAGAAGTTTCGTAAAGGCATACAATACACTGGGGATATGTCTTCAAACCGAACGACCTGCCAAACTGGTCTTTGCAACATTATTGATAGTGGTTCCTTCCAGAAGAGACAGCCCACCTTTTTCAGGCGTCGTTCGTTTCTCTTATTGGCCTGTCGAAGCTCTAATAGTGAAGAGCATAATTGAAATCAGGCCTTTAGAGGATGGCAGGGTATACGCGTTTTGTGGACTGGTACCTATCACGCACTGCGCTCAATCTCAACATCACTTTGTTACCTACCTCGGAAAATCGTTTGGCGCGCCGGCTAGGGAAGAGTGAAGTCAAATCTCAGTGAATGTTCCGCACTATAAACAATCTGATACTCTTGAAACTATCCCGGTGTGCAGAATCCCCGACTTGAATGGTTGCCTACTAAAGACTCAAGTCGTACCTGGAAGTCAGCCAAGTGTGAGTTTGCGTGGAGTAGCCAACTGGGGGGAGGGAGGGTCAGGCTGAAGTAGTTCCTCCTTAATGTGGCCTTTATGGCACCTTGACGCCCACCCTCTATGCGCGATATCCTGGTGTGCTGCGTAGGAGCCAGGTCGTGTATGCGGAACGCGCAAACAGCCCGTTTCTAGGCCTGTTAGCCACTGCTCCCCGCCCGGACAGTGCACTAGTGCCCGGGAGGGATAAGAGTAAGGTCGACTGTCTCAGCATATATTCCTCACCATAAACAATCTGGCGCGCTTGGAACTGTCACGGTGCATTAGAAGCTGCGGCTTAGCAGACCGCCAACTGAATGGATAACTCGGTTCTCCTCCCAGGAGCGAGTCAGACTGCAGTGCCGAGGTCTTTATGGCACTCCCACTCGGCTGGGACTTGAGCCGCTGCCTGCCTTACCGTGTCGAATTCTGGTCCTTTGTTCTCGGATGATGAGGGTGTGGTAGTTCGCTCAAGTGTGGGTTCACGCAGTGCAAGCCGCCTGCGCCTGATCCCGCCTTCGGTCTTCTCGATTGTGTCTTGATACCGGTGCATGAGGATGGGTGTGTGAGGGAGGTGCTACGAAAGTCTACCATCATTATACATTGACTCACGCACGGGTCCTCCTCCCCGTGAGGCAGACGGGGGGGGGCACCATTTGAAACGACGGTCGAACTGTCACCATCAGCGGCTCTAAGTCCTTCCACCCCTTAGACGAGACTGCTTGGGACAGATGAGACTGCAATTAGACTTTAAGCCGTCACCGCCCGTGACGTTAATATCAACAAAAAGGGATAAGCTAACGCTGGATGTGCTCGGGTCAGTCACTACTATCTGACTGGCGGGACAGTACGAGGGGCTGGATAAGGACATTAAGTTGAGCCATAATTCGTGCATCATGGTGCTTAAGATGTACATCAGTCATCAAGTCTTACATGGAACGATGCCGCGCGGGAATCGTTGCGATCTCCCTCAGACTAGGTTGTTGCGAGCAACAAAAGGAAACACAAACAACTGACATTCACAAGAGAAGACAGCAGAGTCTCTGCCTCGGGGACGACTGAACGCACTACAGAGAACAGTCCTGGTCGCGTCGCTCACTGGCCTGCGTGTTTCTCGATCTGTTAGCTGGCTGGCAGCTTCTTTCTGCTTATAGTCACTGCTCTCCGGGCCGTCATTTAAACGAAGCTTAAACAGGGAACTGTTGAAATGACTTTCGTTGACGGCTTATGCCCAAAAATTTCCGGTCCCTCAGCTAAGGCTGTGTTTCAAGGTCTCAAGCCACTTTGATCGGACACAAGAACAAACGACCGTTGCACATTGCACGGTGCGTACTTTTGTCCCTAAATATTCATGTACGAAACGCCATGTATCCCAAAAGCCACGGCGCCTATGCGGAAGTATTTGAGGGAACCTGTAGGTTTAGTTGGCAAGAATTGAGAGGACTGTCTGACGGTGCACCCAACCAAAATGACAACTATGTGCCACCCTGTCGCAATCACTGCGGGAACACATTGTAGAGATGGCAGAACAGCCGCCCAAGGTGGGCTCGGTAGTCTGCACGCTGACGGGCCAAAGTACTATGTAGCGTCCATCTGGGCAAGAATCCGTCTAAAACATAAGCTTACCTACTTATGTAAATCCTCCCCCTCTTCCTGCTCTAAACCACAACACGTCCGAGACACACTAACCCCTCCGGAAACAGTCTGGTGACCCTGTCACCGACTACCGCCCAATCTGCCTACTTCCGACTTTCACGGTGTGCTTGAGATCAGTTGAATAGATATTCCAGTTCGACAATCCAGGTTACTTCCTCTCAGTCAGAATCCGGAACTCGTCTTGCCGCATACACACCAGCATGATCAACGTTGTCCAGTGGCATGATTCGCACATGCGATGACCGAAAAATAATCACGAACATATGCAGTGACCTCATCCGAGCAAAGGAGGCCAACCCTTGCTACAAGCAAATACATATGGCAGCGTCGTTACGCCATGTATTTAAGTTGATTTGGCCTTATTGGTCCCTGACTTGACCGATCGATGACCACACAGACCTTATGGCATAGCAGTTTGACAAATTATTTATGAGAAAAAGAGGCCATAGTCCTCACCGGTCTTTCCACCAGAAATCCTACTGGTCTGTTTGGGTTATGGGGCGTGCATGCGACCGAATAACTGCCGTATTCGAGTGGCCCTTATATTGGGCTGCGGTGTAGATTCGCTGGAAGAAGACGGGGGTTGCACTGACGCATGGGACGGGTCAATAAGACTGCACATCCCACAAGAGTTGCCGCAAATGGGATAAGAGGGTAAGTTGTGGCACGCCTCAACGTGCCAGCCATCGTGTTCAGGCTGACAGGCTCGGTCAGTCGACTGGTGCATGGGAGAGACCAGCGCAAGCTAATCCAATCCCACGGCACATCCTCCGCTGTAACAGATTTGACGTGCTAGAAGCAGTGACTTGGGAAGTTGCCAAATGCGGGGATGGGTCCCTCTCAGGGTTGAGACTGGCTCAACCGACGCTCTCTGGCATGAGACCCTGGTCGCAACGTAAAAACCAGTCTCTCCGTGGGGATTGGATCGTGCATAGCACGCATAGGCGGGATGTTTGGCCCTTTTAACCACTTGTTGCCTTGCCACCGGAGCAAGGTGCGTGAGTGGAGTTGCGCAAATCAGCCTCGCTGCAAAGTAACTCACGGGTACTGCGTCCGCTATCCCTCGGCACACGGTGGGTGCCGTCGTTCGCGATAGTCGAACTACCGTCATATTCGAAAAATCATTTTAATGCAAATTTCGCGAGAAGCGAATCACAACGCTAATTGCAAATCGGTTGTCTTGGTGAAAGACGATAACCTTACTGGATGCTATTGCTTTCCGGGCAGGAGGGCTTGCGCAAGACAGAGGTCTACCCGCACGTTGAAGGGACGCCAACTGACTGTAGCACGGGACAACCTTATACTTGGTTTCTAGTTTGTTGCAAGGCGTCTAGTGTCACAGGCTCCCATATTCTCCACAAGGCACAGACAGCATATCTACAGCGGCGTTCGAAGAGAACACTGTTCATAACCACCTGAAAGCTGTGCCGATTATTAAGGGACATGCGCGTAGAGCGAAGTGCCGTTTGTCACTTCACTTCTAGCCCCAGACGTGGCCTTGAAACGGATCACGATCTTAACATCGTAGTCAAAAACATAAACGCAAGCACCAAAAGCAAGACAAGTCGGGAATTATGATATAGGGCGCTTATCGATCGCGCTGTGGGATCTTTTTATGACGGTATGCCTTGGGCTCGATCTAGGAGCCCACATAGTCGCACGGCGACCATTAATATGTGCAGTACCAGTCCCTGGCTCGATGGTTAGAGGGTTGAACTCCTAACTAACAGAAAGTAAGTTCAGACCTCGGGCCGCAAAGCCTGCAACTGGGTATGGCCGGCCGATGACAAATAATAAGCCAGTAATGCCCATCCTAGTTTCCCTTCTCCTTGATGGTAGTCTCCGTGTGCATGTGGAGAATTAGTCGAAACCTATGACTCGGATATGAACTCAATTAATCTATGTAACGATATGATGCCAGCGTACAGGGCCTTGCGCAACCATCTCCACAACTGCGTCATTGGGCTCTGATTGGAGAACACCGCCTATAATTGTCGCCTGTACTGTCGCTGACTTAGTCTCCAACGATGGATTCCTGCACGAGCTCGAACCTTTACAAAAAACCAGTCGTTTTGGTGCCGACCGGTCTTTCTCTTTCTTACTCAAGGAAGTCTCTTCCCACCACGTGCCATACCTGGATGGATGAATTTTCCCCTATTATGAGGTGGCTCTCAACTTGATAGATCATGACCTAGGGGACTTATGTGCACCGAAAGAGTTAAACCGCAAAACCCGAGACGCGTCTGCTTCGACCAAATCCAAATCTTCAAAAAGGAGGATAATGAAAACAAATCGATAAGAGAGGTTCAAAAGAGAACGGGTCTACACAAAATGAGATACCAATGGGAAAGGGGAAAGGACGATGGCGCAGGCACATCTAGGGTGCGGAAAGATCAAGGAAGGTCCGCCGAAGGCGGAGCTTTGGAAAATTCTATTACTCGGCACTTTGAGGTGGGCAATGAGATAAGCAGAGGCAGTGGTCTGCTAGACTTCGCCGTTATGCTGGCCGGTTCGGAAGATGGGATCTGTCTTCCATTTGAGGAACTCAGGTTTGTCGAGAAAGGCACTGGCTTGTTCAATGTCTGCCTCAATGGTAGCAATTAAATCCTCTGCAGACAATAAAACGTCAGTCTTATTAATTCGGAAAATAAAAAAGCCGTTGTTATTTACGATAAAGATAGTGAATCCCGGCTCAAAAGAGTGAAACACCAGTACTTGACGTCTAGGATCGCGTCAGACACAGGAGGCGAGGCTGAAACCGTATTTAACCTGCCGCGGAAGAAATTTCCTTGCCGACTGAGTCGCAAGTTTCGAAGGCCTACCTGACACCTGTCTAATACAGGAATCATAGACCTGATGTCTGCCTCCACCGTCTTCGGAGTCAATCGCTTTCACAGTTCATGGACGCTGTGCGGGCTACGCGACACTGTGCTCGATCAAAGAAAAGCAGATGGCCAGTGGAAAACTGGAATCTAGTTAGATTCCTACGGCGTTGAATAGACAGCTTCGCTGTGCTCTGAAATCAAATGTCCGATGTACAGTTAGACAGTTAATTTCACCTTGCACGGAACACTAACTCCGTAATACACAACTATAGGTGAAAAGTGTGCGATATGAATTTGCTCGGGGTCTCCGCGCACACAACTAGCATTGAGTGCAATGTAACAAATGTCAACAAAAGCGTTGCGTCTACTAAAAAAACGCTAGAGTTGGCAATCAGTAGTAGACGCAAGTGATAACGCACCCAAAACAGGAGGGTAAGACGTAAATAAAACTGCAACAGCACTTGAGGCACTTACCAAGAGAGGCAAAGTCGCGTTCAACACGGAGAAACTTAAGAACAACAATTTGCATTTTGGAGTCATAAAAGTCCTCCGGGAACTTGTGTAAGATGTGTACCTCCTAAGGGGCGAAAAGCAGTGAACAGAAGTAGAGTGTAGAAAAAAGCGGACAGGGTTACAGGAAAAATAGTCAATGAAGAAGGGGACACGATCGCCGGGACAAGAGATTTATTAGCCTGACGTTTCGGATTCCTACTCGAATCCATCATCAAAGACAGAAAAGCAGAAACGACATGACATAGCGTGCCTGCTCATGGGAGACGTGGTACTTATGAAAGGCGAATGCATGGAGTGAAAATCGCTTCTAGTCAGCGACGGAAGCGCCTTGAGAATACTTTCATATTTCAAGTATCAGAAGTTAATCAAAAAAAGGAACCTGATCTACTTAAGAAACAGCATTGTGGACTAATTTGATTTGACGATAACAACATTCGAATGTCCTCGACGCTGTCAGGGTCGATCAGTCAACATCGAGGTGCTTTAATCGAACAGAAAAATGTGAAAAAAACACAATTAAAACGTTAAAAGGAACGGCCTTGCTCGTGGGAATAAGGAGGGTTGAATGATACTGAGAATGGCCAAAGCAGGAGCATGCTAAGTTGGTAATATTCCCTGATTACTGCAAAAAATGCTACCAAGCAGGTCATTTTCGACCGACAGATTGTCGTTACGCAGCATAGTGGCGAACATTGGTCGGAGATACCTTATGAGGAGTAATCTCACTGACACTGTGAATTGCTGTGAGAGCAGCGCAGTGAAGTCTTAGAGGACAAAGTCCTTTCCGAATATTGGTTAACTGTCACATCTCATAACAGTGCCCTGATATTGTGGACACGAGTGGCTTGGCACTCTGACAAGTGTGATGCACGAAGATCTATTTGTCAGATTAATACCAACGTATTTGGTAGCGGTCATATCCAATGGGGAAACATGAAATTAGACATCGTTTGAATAATCAGTTGTGTGGCCGAAGAAAAACTGACTTATACACAAAAGCTGTAAGGTTTCCAATGATGGAGAAAGCGGACAGAGACAGACGAGATAGTTGTTAAGATCTAAAGTTGGCGACTAAATAGTTAAGCGCACTTCTTAAATCCTGCCCCGAAAGTGATCAAAAGCAGCCGTCGTTAAAAAATTCCGGGTTGGTAAAAAACTCTTCTAACTCTCAAGAAATCCTTACATTTCTTCCTTAGCTGAACATTTATCCATTTGTAATGGCTACATTGACTTAGATAGCAGATTGAAAAAATAAGGAGTTTTAACTGCCTTTCAGCTGTTCGAGTTAATCGATTTTCTCTCCTTCCGGGATGTTGCGTCATGAATATAAGCCAAAACTGGTCGCACGAGTCCACAGTCTGCCATGGTATATCTTGAGAAAACGACGTAGGTTGTTTTAAATTTCATACGTACCACGTTAAATGTGCCAATTTAGGAGAGTACGCCTCACAAAACCATTTTAATGGGGGAAAATTAAAACGCTCCTGATGCGCGCATGCATTTTTCTTTTGGGAAAAAGTAGATGTACTGTTTTCATCTGATTCTAGTCTGCCAAGATATATCTTGAGAAAACGATGTAGGCTGTTTTAAATTTCATACGTACCACGTTAAATGTGCCAATTTAGAAGAGTACGCCTCACAAAACCATTTTAATCGGGGTAAATTAAAAGGCTCCTGATGCGCGCATGCATTCTTCTTTTGGGAAAAAGTAGATGTACCGTTTTCATCTGATTCTAGACCTTGTGTTGTCTTAATACTTTACACATGGGAGAAGCAGTGTATGCAAATCTAGTACATTTTGATGAGCGGGACCCATTATAAGGTTAGGTTTACCTCTACCCTGGGTACAGGGCGGAGTACGGTCGCTTCCGTTTATTTTGGAAATCCAATTTATAAGCCACTTAGGTAGACGCGTTGCGACAAACAACCAAAAGTCGAGGTGTTACCGGCAGAGGGGAAATGTTCACTAGCCAAAAAGTTCGAAAGAGTCCGTGGCCGGGGTGTGGTTAACTGACGATGACCAGTAAGGCAGGGATGGCCACTTAGCTTATTCATCTTTTTTGATAACAATAGGCTTTAGACCGCCGTTCCAAAACAAAACGGAAGCATTGCCGCAACCAAGAGAGACCGGCGAACGAGATTCCGATTCACCTAATTATTCTGAATTGTAACTGACAAGGACCCAGGAATGTAAAATCTTGGATCCAGGGGTGCGCTAGTTGAAAATCCGAAGATGAAAAGTTAATAAGCACAAAGGCGGTGTTCATTTAATTGGGATGACGGGGACAATTCTTTCGCTTAATTGTGATTAAAACAAAAGGGGAATCATTAACAAATTATAAATTAGGGCAATATATTAAAGGGGGTCTCTATGACAGTGGAAAATGTGTTAAGCAAAGCATATGCCTCAAAGTCTTAAACACTAGGGATTAAGCTGTTCCTTAAACACGGATAGCAAACTTAAAGAAAGTCCTAGCATTTAGACCGAACTCCTAAGTTTGGCACAACATCTAAGCCAAAAGGAACCACGGTTTTAGTCGTAACAATTATGGTGACTAAAAACTGCCTAGAGCTAGTCATCGGGGCCGCAGCGATGATTGCCAATAACTACCCTCAGACATTTTACTGGCGGCTAAACAATTTAGTCATAGACGAACAGGGTAAAATGATTAGTAGAAAATATGCCAGGGTAATGGGCAAATAAAACAGAAAATTGGAAACGCAGACTGCCGCGAACCTCAGAATAAACACCCATAATCATTTAAGTGATTTGTTTAGCTTAAAACGGACCCGTATCACAAGAATGGTTGCAATACTCGCCTTTATGGGCGGAGTTTGTTCAGTCTCAACAAACGCCGCATTGAGAATCGAATTAAGCAGGTCACACCCGGTTGTAATGGCCATTATTCCTCACAGTAGTGCATGTGGAAGTAAAATGCGGAGTGCAGGAAATTTACCAAAGATTTCCTTTCATTTTTGTAAAAGGGATTCCAGCCAAGGCTCATCACCATCTTATGAACAGGTCCATCTTCAACCTGTGCCCACCCAGCATAGACACCAGTACGCATCGTTGAAGGGAGATTTTCTATGACATCTTCTGACATGTTAGCTAGTGAGAGAATAATTGATGAGCAGAAGGTACAAACCAGTAGGTATTCCAAGCTCTTTGCTGCCGCGTCCAAAACCACGAACCACCCTGCCAGTTGCGCGAAGTATGCAACTATAGTCTGGCATCATACAGGCTTTCGAACGCGGTGAAAGGGACTAGTTGACCGCCCTCGACCACTTAGGCCGCCGCCAGGCTCCCAAATGTGGTGAGAAGGACCTTATCCGTATGATCGCCTGAATATGAGCGTAGTAAAAGATTAGGATGAGATACCAAAGGTGGCCCTGAGGTTCAGATACAAATGCAGTTCGATAACGGGTGCAACATAATCTTTTCGGAAACTTACAAAGATACTGAAGTCAAGATGAAGCTCAGGTGCCAAATAAATATATCAAAAAGCATTCCTTGCGATTTGGCACTACGTTAAACGGACCTAATAGTCTATGCTACTACGGAGGTGGGCAGACAAACTAATACATGAAAATGGCAGAGGATGCCCAACCAAAAGTGTCCGACAATCTTGGAGGGCAGTTTGTGGAGATTTGATGATTTTAGCTTGACAGATGCAGTTTGGCAGTACATTTAAATCACAGGACCACTTTGTCAGTAGGCACTTACCAAGGGAACACAGTCAGGGATCCAGTTTTCTTCCTGTGTAGTTATTTGGACACCTTACTGACCGTTTGATATGGGTACTTTAATATGACTCTTTTGGGTATAGGTGTGGCCCCTTTGGACAACGCTAAATTCCAACACACTCTGCAAGCACAGCAAATGTCGTATCTACCACTCCAAGGTCGTGCGTATAAATGTGAAAACTACAGACCAAATGATGTTGTAATGTAACGTAAACTGCCACCGTTAAATGTTAACAGAAAATATCTCGCTTTTTTTGTGAAATTGGGTTTTTAATTTAAAGTCCATAGAACAACTGAAGATGACGAACTGTTTTAAAATATTTCGCCAGTCATCCGACTTTCGGAAATATCTGCTCGGACGTTTCACGGCTCTCGCGACCATCAAGATGTTCTTGTACTGTTGGTCTCCAACATCCAGAAGGTTGCTGATGCGAGAAGGGCGGGCTTTGACGTTCACTGGTTTCAAAAATTTGCGCCATGGTTGTTCTTCTCGGACTTGCTTTCAAGAGTGGATGGGGGGTTCGCGACAAATGCTAAGTAGTTTTGACTTTTCATTAGATTGACTGCTGAATTTCATTGTGCAACGATTCTCTTGACTGTCATTTTCCTAACTTAGAAATGATTTAGAGTGCAGTGCAAAGTAAGCGTACACACGTTTCGGCCTCTTACCTAACCACAAGAAGTCGGGCAACAAACGTACTTGGTCATTGGACCATGCCCAAAATGTCAAACAACAAATGTACTTAACGTAATTTGCTCACTCAGTGCGTAAAAGGCCAGAATCAGGCAGCTGTTTCATGGTCGGTACCGATTATCATTACGTCACAGACCTTATGAAGTGAGGTATATAAACAAGTCAGGTAAGACAGGGTGCCACTAACGAAAACACATTTTCCGGCATAGGACAGTAACAAGTTGGCGGACAGACAGAATGGAATCGAGCAGGTTCCTAACCACAACAGTTGGGGCCACACGCTTCTCGAAACCAATATATACCTTACAGCATACTATCACGAAAACTTGTTTAATTTAATTTAATTTAATTTACTAATGCCAGTTTACAGTTTACCGCCCCGGGAAATATCACAATCTCACTCAACATAATAGGGTTAAATCCAACCAGCAGCAATGAAGAGGGCGCGTTCTCCCACCATCCACCTCAGAACCGACCATGGAAGAAACAAGGAAGATAAAGCACAAACAATGTAATCAGTGTCTCCATATGGCCATGAGAGTTAGGCGCTTAGGGGAATCCCCAATGTTTTCATGGAGAAAATATCCGTCCTCATTATGCGAAACAAGACTAAGCCTCGATTTTCCCATCCATCTTATGCAAGATATTTAATTTCGCTCTTGAAAGTGAAAGTTATCCTACCTTGTGGAAGGAATCAAACACTTTGCCCATTCCTAAGCACGACAAATCTACATCATTTGAGGACTTTCGGCCAATAAACACCCCCCCCCCCGCAGTTTCGAAGATCATACAGACATTGATCAGGGATAAGATGATGCGTCACTTAACAGCGAATAGTTTACTGAATGCTGCTCAGCATGGATTCCTCAAAGCTCGGTCTTGTGACAACTGTCAACTCTCTTTCTTTGACTATGTTCTCCAATCTAGGAACGTTGGTTTTGCACTTTACACGGTATATTTTAATTTCACTTTGGCTTTTGATCGTGTTGACCATGCTCTTCTTCTCTTGAAACTGTCCTCTTTCGGAATAGGTGGCAAACTTTTGAATTTTATATCCTCTTACTTGAACACTCGTACACAACGAGTTAAGATTTCCAATACCATCTCCAACCCCACACGTGTGAGGAGTGGAGTCATTCAGGTAGTGTACTCGGCCCGCTTTTATTTTGTCTTTTTGGTAATGATGTACCCGATTTATTTCAGAATGGTAAGCCTTTCACGTATGCCGATGATCTTGAAGTTGCATATCGATATAAGCCGGCAGATTGTGACATAGTGCCTGACCTCCTAAAGAGCGACCTACAGGCTTTTGCCCAGTGGTGCCGCACATGGTGCCTTTCCCTTTCTTGGCATAAGTGCTCAGTCATGGTGGTTGGCGACGACCGCCAACCTCAGCTAACTATTGACGGTCACGCCATAAATGTGCCTGGGGTTATTGAGGATCTGGGCGTATCATACTCCAAGAGTCTCAATCTCTCGGAGCACTGTGCCTTGATAGTCTCCAAAGCACGTAGAACGACCGGGTTAATCCTCCGAAACTTTAAAACTAGTGACATTAGATTGCGCCTTTTCAACATGTACGTTAGACCTAGTCTGGAATACGGATCGTTTTTATTTAGCCTCATGCGTGCAACTGAACGAAAGAAAATAAATTCCGTTCAATATTTTTTTTACCAAGAGAGTCTTAGCCCTGGAACACCGACACTTGTCCTACCAAGAACGTTACCCGTTTACAGGCCTTGATCCTTTATAGTTTATTAGATTACAAAATGGATTATTTTTACAATTTAAGCTTTAATATGGTCGCACCTTTAACCAATGGTCTACTTTAGGACATCATGATCACACCCGACGTAACTGTCACCGTGAGGTCTTTTTATTTCTTTCTCTGGCACGTACTGTTAAATATCGTCGGTTCTTTTCTGTAAATGCAATTGTTATTTCGAATAAACTACCCAGGACTGTGAAAAATCTGCAAACTTGTCCTTTATATAAGAGAACTATTATTCGATTTTTGCATTCAGAAAAGCACCTACAAATTTTGGGTGCTGAACCCACTGCTGGACTCTACCGTAGCAATGGCGTTTGTGGTCTCTGACCACTATGGTCGGTCTCACTAGGAAAAATTTCTTTGGCAAACAGCGACAGCTGTTCCTCGGCGTTTCTGTTTTGACAAGCCCCAACTTCCTGAAAGACATTGGCGACTGATCATATCCGATATCGTGCAACCCCTCCCTTCTTGACGATCGAAAGCTTGTCGCCAGCAGTTTTTCTTCTCCTGAACCCTCCGGTCCATAAAACCACCATCAACTATATCTTTATTTCTTTTCCACAGGAGATTTTTTCTCTGCTGGCCGGAGTTAAGCTTAACACTTCCCTGACAATGCCTGTAAACTAAAATTAAATAAAATAATAATAATATAAATAATATTAAAAACTATAAAATTATCTGGAAATTTTTGTGTTATCAGAGGACGTACAACCAAAAGGAAGTGAAAACATCATTGATCTTAACATTGTGCAAAAATAGGAGCGACGGGGAACGCAGTCCTCAGGACAAATCCAGACTTGACAGGCTCGCAGAGGGTGTTTGTCAGGCATCTGACGTAAAGCTGGCAACAGATTTCAGTTGTGTCGCAAGAAAAATATACGACACGCCATGTGGGGGAAATTAAAGCCAAGAAATGAACGGAGAGTCTTCCATGAAAATGGACGTAGACTTTTGAAACTGTCAGCAGTAAGAAATAAAAGGAAATGCAGTCAACATGAGGATGAGAATGTCTTCCGTGGATCTGGACGCTGAAAGCCCAGTAGTTAGTTTGTCAGGAGATAATAGTATGAATGGAGTGGAGACGAGTGTCTTGTCAGTATAGGCTGCGACCACAACAGGCCCTGCGTCCAATGACAAGTGGAATCACCCAATAAAAGAGGCCGCGGAATGTGTGTTAACAATTCGAAGGTCAATTGTAAAACACGACATAAACTTTTTTCAAGAGTATGTTAAAGCTTTGTTAAGGGACGGCAAGCCGATTACCATTCCCAATGCGTACAGAGTAGGAAATGCTCAGCCATTGTCTGGGTTGGATTCCCGAGCGTGACCCCTAAAAATCATTATAGAAACCAAGGCTAAGACGCAGTTCCTGAGACAGAGGAAATCATTTCTGCGGAGTACACATACCGACACTTTTTCCAATCGAAGTACAAACCAAAAGAATAAAAATGTGATACCTGCTAACGGAAATGAGAGGGCGCAGGGGCGACAGAGAAAAAAACTTCAGAAGTAGAGATGGACAAATAATTCAAGTTTAACGGGAATTTCTTTGACTGAAGACAGTTATGATGACGACCTTAAGAATGCACAGCTTCCGAATTTCACAGCTGCGGCGAGCATTAGCGACAACTGCCAAGAAATGCACCACAGTAATTATCGGAATCTCTCCAGCAAGCTACATAAGTCCAAGTTAAGAGCCTTTGAGAAGAATGTCCTCATAAATTCCCCGACAGACATCTGGTTGTCTGAAAATAGGAAGCAGCGCAGTCAGTAATGGGGGCTATCAAATGCTCTGTTGGGACGGATTTCGACAAAGAGGGAAAGTCGTTAACATTTGTTTATCCAACAAAGTCTCCTGCTGTCATCGGGGAATAGCTGATGCAGAAATATGAAATCATTCAGGATTTCTGGCAGTATTTTCAATGAGGGTAACAGGGTGACAGCAGTGAGATTTAAGCCTTACGAGCATAACTTACCTTTCTGGAAAAAAGCAATGGAAGTCCTCGTAAAGCAAGCCATTCTAGATTT